AAAAAATATGAGATAAAAATACAAAAATAATAACTAATCTTCTTTTATTGAAATTCTAATTCTGAACTCATCAAGGAAAAATAAATTAAAGCTTCTTTATATATGTAATGGAATCCGTCTTTTAAGTTTAAACATGTAAATGTAGTTCAGCAGGACATTTAAGGGCCCCCTACGCCTTCGGGCCCCTATGCGACGGCATTCCTTGCATACCCTTATTTACGCCACTGATTAAGCACCATTCTAAAACATGCATACTAGACAAATATCATCAATAAATATTACAAGTACGGATTATAAGTACTGTATAAAATTTTTTATTGAAAAATAAAAGATCACACTAAAGTTGAAAGAAGTGATAGAGACAGGTAAGAAAATGGCGAACTGGATATACATTACAGTTTCACTGAACTGGAAAAAAAAGTAAGTATTAGATTAATATAATGAAATTAATACTAATTATTGCATCTTATTTTCTACTTGTATAATTAAAATATGAGCCAATTTCATTTAGAAAGTTTATTACAAAAGCATTCCTCCTTGTAAGAATATAGTTCTTCAGAATTCTGTTATGATTCACAACATATTAATTTCAAATGCAAAGAAGTCTTATTTTATGATGCTATTTTCTATTTCATTAACAAATAATCTTCACCTCTTACACTGCATAAAATTACAAATCTTGGATATATATTAACTGAAAATTTTCGCATACCATGTTCACAAGTTGAAAATATCAAATAAATAGATATTGAGTGGATATACATAATTCTCCAATCACTATTACAGTTCAGGATAAAAAAAGAAAGGAAAAGCAATTAAATAATCACATCATTTGTAGTACTAGGATTTTGTATTGTACTTGTATCACATAGTATTGCATCATTTGGAAGCTTTCTCTTTTAACTAAGACAGCACTGTATTTCAGTAGAAAAGAAATCCAATATATTTAATTCAGAAGTACTAGATTTTTGCTTATCAGAGTACTTCAGGGCATATAAGCTACACAAGCTATAGCTTGCCCAACCAAATTTTAAAATATATTATAACAGACTTATAAAGGGACCAATATCTCAAATAGCTTGCACATAAACCATGTATAAGCTACTGGCATGCGCATGGATGCTTTTTATAAAGTAGTGAAGGTACAAATTGGCATCACCGAGCAGCAGTTGCAGTGTGAACACTTTTGTCTTAAATTAACTGAAATATTTGGCCGCTTAATGTCTAAGCATCTCTGTGTTCGTAGCCTGTCGTAAAACTTCCCCCCTTTTTTTTGGACCTTGAATTCATTCAAAAATCCCTAAGCCGAACGGGAAATCTCTCCTTTCCAAATGTGGTGTCATAAATTCTTAGCGTTTCCTTAGAACGGCATTTTGACACATGGAGGTAGGAAGTACCTTTCTTACCTCCATGTTTCGACATGGAGGTGGGGCAAAGTGTACTACTGTGTCTGCCGTTGTCCTGTCTTATTAAAAAGTTGTTGTATTTTTTAATCTAGCTGCACATCTTCCAGGTATTTTTATACAATTTTATTACACCTGCTATGTACATTTGTGGTTCCGATAAAAAATTCGTAATCAATTTTTCAATAACTTCTATTTGTCTAAATGTTGGAAATTTTCTTCCATTTTTGGCCATATTAAAAAGTTTTGTTATTCTGATGATGGAAAAAAAAATTTTTTTTTTCTTTTTAGTGCAGTTACATATATTAATAAAATTGTATTTTTAATAAGATTTATTTTAATTTTATTTTTATCAATTTAATAATAATGATAATTTTGTACTGGTGGCTTTAGAATAAAATATATTTGGAATATTTTTTAGGCACCCCAATTAACATGGCTACCAAAAAAAAAAAAAGCAAAGAAAAACGGAAAATGAAAACCACGAATTTAAAGATGAGTGGACCAAAAATTTTGCATTTATTCAAAACTTGAATGGACTTCTGACATGTCTTATTTGTAAGGAGAAATTCGCGCATAACAAGAAGTCAAATTTAGAGAGACACTTTACAAGAAAGCACACGTCGCTTAGCATTAAATATCCTACCGGTAATGCAAGGAAGAAAGCAGTTGAGGAACTTCAAAAGAGTCAAGAGTCATCAACTTCTGTATTTAATAACTGGATGCAATCTTCCAGCAATATTAATATGGCAAGTTTTGTTTGTAGCCAAGAGATTGCTAAGAAAGGAAAACCGTACACAGATGGCGAATATGTAAAAAATTGCTTTATGAATGCATATGAAGAGCTGTTTCAGGATTTTAAGAACAAAGCAGCTATTCTGAAAAGAATTAAAGAGTTACCATTGTCTGCCAAAACCATTAAAGATAGAACAATTAAAATGTGTTCAAATATAACCACTCAGCATATCGAAGATCTGAAATTGGTTTCGGCTTTATCAATAGCAGTTGACAAGTCTCGTGACATAAATGATACAGCGCAAATTTCACTTTTTGTAAGATTTATGTCTCATTCAGGCCCTAAAGAACTACTTTTAGGACTATTGCCACTCAAAGGTCAGACACATGGAGAAGATATCGCCAGTGCTGTAATTGAGTGTATGGATAAACATCATATTCCCCTCGATAAAATTGTGTCGATTTGAACAGATGGGGCCAAAAATATGACTGGCGTAAGAAAAGGGGCTGTTGCTATTTTGAAAGAATAAATTAATCACGAGATACTTGTTTACCATTGTATCATTCACCAAGATGCGCTTTGTGCGCAAACATTTCCGGAAGAAATTTGTAAAGTTATGGAATTAGTGATTACCATTATCAACTTCATTTTAACTAAAGCTCTTAATCATTGCCAAATCAAAATTTTGTTATTTGAAATGGAGAGTAAGTACGCTGATCTTCTGCTTCATAACAAGGTACGTTGGATATTAAAAGGGAACATTTTAACGTTTTGTGTTCCTTTTTTCAGAAATTAAAGCATTTCTCCTTGAGAAGTGCATTCACTATCCAGAACTAACAGATGATCAGTGGATCCAAAACTTTTATTTCATGGTAGATGTTACGTCTCATCTAAATCAGCTTAATCGTAAACTACAAGGGAAAGGAGACTTAATTTTTTCGATGTTAGAAGAAGTAATAACATTTGAAAACAAATTATCCATTTTTGCACAGGATTTTGAAAGGAAGACATTGTTTCACTTTCCGAGCCTGTTGAAGTATCGCCAAGAAAATAATTCCTCTATTGATAAATACCATTTTAAAACAATAACTTTAAATATGAAGGAAGCATTTCTCAGCAGGTTTCAGGAATTTAAAAACAGAGCAACTTTAGCATTTGTCAAAAATCCTCTTAATGCTACAATAACCGAATTGAATTTTCTCTTTTTGAAATTGACATTGGTAGCTTTGAAATACAATTGCTGGATTTAAAAAACAAGGAGATATGGTGCTCTAAATTTGAACGTCTTTGTGTTGAATTAGAAATATTGGGGAAGAAAAAATGTGATCTTAGTTCACAACACAAGTGGTCTGCTTTGAATGACATGGAGAAGGAAGACATGATAATTTTCAATGCTTGGAATAGTATGCCTGACTCTTACGATCAGCTGAAAAAGCTCGTGTTTGCTGTTCTTTCCCTTTTCGGTTCTACATATATATTCGAACAATCTTTTTCAAGCATAAACATTATCAAGAGTAAACTGAGAAGTCGCCTTATTGATGAGAACTTGAAATCATGCCTAAAATTAAAAAGAACAACATACAAACTTGACTTACTCAAACTTTCCAAGGAGATGCAAGCACATTGTTCACATTAATAAATATTTATTAAGTTTTAAATTTAGTTTTATTTAGTGTAATAAAAGTTTACTAAACAAGCAGATTTGGCTCCCAATTTTTTTAAATTTTTTAAAAAATTGTTGTAATGCTCATATTTGGCTCTTTGGCTAATAAGTTTGCCGACCACTGGGCTAGAACCAGGTCAGCAAAAGAGCTGGTGTAGCCATATCAACAGAATTTATGGGTAAGAAAATTCTAGAATTTACGGAAGTACTGAGCAGCAAACTTCTTTCAGTTCAAGAGAATAGAGTTTAGGGATGGCACAATTTTTAGAATTTAGAAAGGTAACAGACAGTAGAAATTAGGACTCATAGAAATTGCCCCTGGTAAAAGGAAAAAAAAAAAAAAAAAAAAAGGATAATGCAAATCCTCACTAGGAGGAATATGAAGTATGATCCAATTCAGTAGGCATTAATATATATATATATATTAAAGTATAGGAGTAAAACTTACTACTGCAATTATTTGAACACACACACACACACACACTATATATATATGAAAGATTGAATTAGAACTAACTTTCTACTTTCTCAAAGGAGATAATATACTCAATAATCTATTAGCAAATAAATTATTATTATTTTGCAGCTATTGTGCAAGTATTAGGCAATTTATTAATATTTAATTTAATTCAATATTTGATATATATATATATATATATATATATATGTGTCAAAAATATTTTTGAAAAATGTATAAATATTATTTAAAAATACAAACTTTAAAAATAAATCATAAAAAAATGGGTGAATTTTATGTGGAATGAACCTGAATTTCGAAATGTGAAAGGAAGAATCAAATAAGCTTAACAAATAAATACCAAACTCAATTAACACAGAGGAATTAAAATTTTGAGAGCTAGTTTTTTAAAAACTACTCGTGAGATTTTTATGAAACTTGGCAGTTTGGCGTAATTTGAGTTGTAGAATTGAAATATGAAACAAAATTGGTATGTTACTTCAGAAAACGTCAGATTTTGTGTCAAAATACCTATATTAGAACAATGCTATATATAAATCTAATACATATCCTAAGTTACGCTTTCGAGACATAAGAAACAAAAGTTGAATTTCATCAATCAGCCCAGTAGAATGGGAGATACCCAGTTTTATGGAAATCAGGAAAAAAAAAAAAATAATAACCAGTAAATGTTCAATAAATTGGTTTACGTAAAATTTGGAGAAAAGGAAAAAAAATTACCTTTTTCATAGGAATAAATTTCTGGACTGGGTGCAATTCGAATAATGTGGCGTAAACCAACCAACACAAAAATTTCATCCTTGAAAGTGGCAACATCAGCAATGTTTGTCTTCTGATAAGAAGAAACTACAGATTTCTGTTCTGGATCAATGAGCAGCACAGCAGAATCAGACCAAATTAGGATATAACTGTCATCATATACAGCAAGTTGACCAAACTGCACATTAGCTAAATTAATTTGGTTTATTGATTCTGTCAGATACTGCACTTGAGGATGTTCCTGAGATAAAGCACTTTTGAAAATCATGGTTTCCTGGATTACACCAGAAATGTTGGATTTCCATAGCCTTTGACCAGGTCGAGCTGCAAGCACTATACCATCTTCCATATTACCACCATCTATAATAACTGCACCAAAGTTCCCTGGGCTAAAATGGATTAATTTATATATATCAATTAATTTTCTCCTTATACTAAATTATGTAAATATTTTCCTATTAATTCATAATTATGAATTGACAGAAGTCATAAAAGATAAAACAAATCTTATATTTTAAAATACAGTAGAATCTTGATTATTACCTCAGATAATTGAAAACTTGGTAAACACAGACCTCATTTTAAATCCACAAATTTAATACTTTTTAATGGGACTTTTTATAATTGTTTAGTTATTATTTGAAAAATAAGCACACTAGCATTACAATTAGCATTTTAACAAACTCTTTCATTAAAAAATAGAATTTATTTCCTCTAATCAAACAAATAATCCATGCAAAATTTTAATTTGTAACAAAAATATTCATAAAAATGCAATATACAAATTCTAACAAAATTGTGAAATTTTTCAAAATTTCTTAAATAAATTTTTAAAAAATTCCTTGCAATAAACAAATTCTAATAAAATTGTGAAATTTTGCAAAATTTCTTAAATAAATTTTAAAAAAATCTTTTACCTTTTCTTATGATAGTCCTATAACTCTATTAGTCATAGCACGATCATGCCGCATTTCGATTAATCTAAAATCTAAATAGCATTTCTAAAAGATCTACGAAAGTAGCATCAAGATATTGCTCTAAAATTTAAACAGCTACAATATGTTGATTTTCACATTGCATGTTTCTGTTTCATCATTCTCCACATTATTCTCATAGCAGCAATTTTTATTGTTCTCGGGATCTATGCAAGCATGATTTCTTCTTCACTCAAAATATGAAAACTTAATGTTTGCCTTTTTCTAAACTAGTCACTGGAGCAGCCAGTCACCTACAATACACTGCTGGTCATTAAAATTGAAGAAAGGCATACTGCAGAATCTTATTTATTGTACATATAGAATATAATGGGAGGAAGAATATAATTCAGTTTTTAGCTGGTTTGGGGTACACAGTATGTAGAATTTAGTACACAAAACTATCACCTCTGGCAGCAACAACAACTGTACTCCAGCTGAGCATCGAGGTGAACTGAGCTTGAATGACTAATATGAGTATTTTGTTCTATGCAGCTTCAAATGTAGGCCAGAGTTCATCTCTCAAAGTAGTATGTCGGTCACTGGGCAACCCATGTCCTGGCCAAGGCAACAGTCAAACACCCTCTGTATCGAAGAAGGTCAGGAAAGCATGAGCAACATGTGGCTGTGCATAACCTTGTTGAAAGGTGATGTCACACAGGCACTGACGAAAGGGCACAACCACAAGCCTTAACATACCAGAATTATAACAGTTGCTGTCCACGTTACCAGCTGTCTGAACAAGGAGTGACAGAGATTTGTACACAATTGCACCCCAGGTGCTGGGCCCATATGACAAAGATAAATAAAAAACTGTCCATATTTGCTTTGCTTGGGCCTAAAAAAATAAATATATCTTTCATGATACTGTACACAGAAACTGGATTCAATCTAGATAATGAATCAAGTGGTACCATTAATGTGTCCAATGTCATCATTCGTCGCATCACAGGTGCACCTGTCTCTCCTGCAGTGTCACGAAAAGTCACAACTACAGTCGCCATGCTTACAGTCTATGGTGCTCAGATGTCATTGCTTTGCGTGTGTAGATACCTCTAGTCCTGTACATGAACCACGTTCCAGACTCAGAAATTGTGACGTGGCTATGTCTTAGGACAGCATGTCTATTCTGTTGGGCATTGTGGACCTGTGTCACAAAGACCTTGCTTGGCACTCTATGGCTCTCCTGATCCTATTAGGCAGACAGTCGTGGGATCTCGACCAAAACAAGCAGCAATGTCATGTAACAATAAACCATACTTCTATAGGCCAAAATCCTGCACAATTAAATTCCGACTCGTAAGCCTTTCCCCTTCTTATGCAAGGCATAACATGAATTATACACACACAATCAACATTCAAATGCTATTTCCAAATGAGAACCCTGTTGTGAAATTTTCTCATTTATGAACAATATTAATGGCATTACCCATACCTGGTTTACACACATGTGATGGAATGCTAATTGTTTGCTTATCCCAGCATATAGAACCCAGGGCCCGGATCAAATAGGTGTGGGGCCCGATTGGATTTTTTTTTTTTTTTAGCAGGGCCCTCTCTATAATTAAATATTTAAATAAAATTCAAATTCAGTATATATATAAATATATCAAATTTCATGGATCATCAGATAGGTAAACTTATAGGTAAATCAGATAGGTAAATCTAAAAATGTTCAAAATACAAAAACATTTATTGAATATAAATTTACATCATCGAATATGAATACATGAATTTACATATTTCTAAGTTTTTGTTCAGTAAATTCTAAAATTGTTTGAAAATCTAATTTCCTTGCGTCTTCACTTTCAATCGACATAATTGCTAAACTACTTAATCTATCCTGATTCATTGTCAATCTCAAATAGTTTTTTATTAGTTTTAGCCTGGAAAATGATTTCTCTCCAGAAGCAACACTTACTGGAATTGTTAAGAATATTCGGACAGCAATAAACAAGTTTGGAAATGCCGTTGTTGCTCTATCATTATCTGATAAAAATTTGAACATTTTAAACAGATTTTCAAAAAATTCTGAAGGAAAAATAGATTTCAAAGCTTCCATTCCCTCAACTAACATTTTTCCGTCTAATATCAGCTTCTTTCATTTTTGGTACATCATTTTCTGTTAACTTAGAATCTGTTAGAGAAATTTCTAATTCAACTGCATGTTTTTGAAGTACTTCTTTTTCCATATTTTGAAATTTTCCCACAAACCCAAATAATTTATTATGATTTTTTAATTGTTCAAAACGATCTTTTAGTGATTCTGTAACTTTATATCAAACAACATTAAAAAAGATATCTTGCATGCATTTATTGGGTCTTCAATAGGTTCATCATCGCTTTCATAATTGAAATGTTCCTTTCTTTTCCGAAGCCTTTTATTTCGAAAGTTTGTTGCCTATTAAGTTTATTATTTCATTTTGTATTGTTTTGCTTAAATAAATTTGGTGGATTCGACATCTAATGATAAAATTATATGTTAGGTATTCATTTTTAATTCCATAATACAACTTAAATTAATTTAATTTACCTAAAAATTTCCATCTCGTTTTGTTTGTTAATAAATTTGATAAGTAAATAATTACGTAACATAATTATACTTACTTTATTCAAAAATTGGTAATTGTAGTTCACAAAATACGACTCTATTAATTTCAACGATTAGAAAAATAGCGAACTACAAATGCAAGAACAATTGACATTTGATGCCAGCTATACATCCACCACTGGCTGGTACGGTTGCGCAACTGTACCAGCCAGTACCGTACAACCACTGGCGTACCGTACCAGCACAACTGTACCACCACTGGCTGGTACTATTTGCGCGTGCATATACCTGCATAGTAGTTTACGTACGTAAAGTAGTTCGCGTACGTACTGCAAAATCTCTCTAATATAGGACTATCCCGATTAAATTCAACTACATTTGGACATGAACTTTTACGGGTAACAGTTTTCTATATTATAAAATATATATTATATAATAATAAACACATTAATAAATCTTATTCAGCAATGCGAACTTTAAATAAATATATTTCTAATTATTTGAATAATTCACAATTTATCCATTATTGTCAAAAGCAATTTGCTTTAATTTTCGAAATTTTTTTGGTTCATTTTGATGGTAACGCAGGGCACTTTCAAATGCGGAGTCCGATTGAGTCCAATCGCTCCAATCGCTCTTTATCCAGCCCTGGTAGAACCTTTCATGCAAATTTGATATTTGTTGCATGTTGCCTTCATGTGTAGCAATTTTAATGGCCATCAGTATAGCAAAGCACAATTTTTGCTTTTAAATTACTCTGTTTGTTAACTAATAACAGACATTAAATTTGAAAGAAAAATTAATATCTTAAGCTTAATCAAATGGCTACAAATTGAAGCATGAGAGATAAAAAAAAATTATATTGGGCAGTGAAAACACATTTCTTTTAAATCACTGAATTCTTTAATAAAAGACAAATATTTCTTTGTCGATTGGAAACATTTTCTTTTAAATCGGCAAGTTTTCTGACTGAATATGAAACATAAATATGTCATGCTTTACAGACTGGCAACACACTGCTTTTTAATCACTGAATTTGTTAACAAAAAATTCAATAAATTTGCAAAAAAAAAAATATAAATCAAAAGAAATTAAAATTTTAGCTTCACGGTGCACATGTTTGGGTGGATGACACTGCGCCCAAAATTTGATGGTTTGGTTCTGGTGGTTGCTATTTTCCCCACAAAGCAAGAAGCATACATGCAGATTCTTTATTATTTAATAACAGAGATTTATCCAATCCATATCCTTATGCGCATATACTTATAATTCACTGTCAGTTGCAATCTGACTTTTATCATTGCTTTCAACTTCAATACATGGAAATTGTATTTTTTATCATAATACACAGTAGGAAGGCCATTAAATCATTGATAAGAATAACCAAAATATCAACCACTGATAAAAGAAGTGACGAAAATTAATGATTTTCATTATATTTTTTTCTAATCTTCCTTTCATCCCTTTTCTAATTTTGCTTTACATTTTCAATTTCATCTCATCAAAGTGATTCCCGGCTTGATTAATAGAAACTTTGATATAAGCTTGGTTAACAGAGATTATACAGCATAAAAATTTTAAAATGCAAAACACCAATTTTAAGTAAATAAGCAATATCATATATGCACATTAAAAAAGTTTTATGTATATATTATAAGAACTTATGTATTAATACAACCGCCTTGGGGGACTTTGGCGATTTTTTTATAGATGAAAAGGCAAAAGTTACTGGATACAAGTTGGTGAATTTCCCACAGCAAAATTCTATATTGCAGAAATTTTATCATGGTTTCTTTCATTGCTTGCAAATTCCACTAGCTTATATTTTAAAACTAAATTTAAGGCAAAAATATCACAATTTGTTTATAAAAACCATTGAAACTTGGAATACAACAAAAAAGAACTACAAAAATGGCAGTGTTCCTTGACTGAAGGCTAGTTATGAGGATGGTTGCAGAGTTTGGCATATTTTTGAAAATTTAGCAACTTCTACTAAGGTGATTGCATTAATACATAAGTACCACAATATATAAAACAAATAATTACTAAACAATTATTTTTATGCATTGTTAATCAGAATTAATGTTTAATAACTAAATGAGGTGAAACTCAGAAATACTATTTATAATCAAAGCAAAGAACATTTTTAATTTACAAGAAATAAATCTAATTTCTATATTGAGTACAATAACGTAAATTGAAACTTTGCTAAATTATATCATTGTATTGATATATCACTGCATACTAAACCAATTTCAATGCATAAAAATTTTAATATTCATAACTATAATTTAACTGAAACAGTGTTAAGATGGCAATTCCTTAAATAGAATAATAAATCAGAGTTTGAATGCAGCATTTAACAGAGTTGTCACTCAAACAGGAGAATGAAATTCCAACTTTTCCAGGTGCGTTTTAAGAAAATTCCAATTTATCCGCGTATTGTGTGTTCGCTGTGCTGAGAGGTAAATTAATTATGGTGCCACTCGAAAACACAAAAATTTTTAAATTACATATGACTTATCCTCAAAGCATTTCTATTATAACTATAATAGGAGTTGTTTTCTCCACTGAAGATTAAGATTAGAATTTGCTCAATCTGGACTAAAAATTGTCTTTTTTTTCCCCAGACATTTTGCAGTTAAATGAAAGAAAGAAATCTATTTATGATATCTTAAATTAATTCAGGTATTTTATATTTATTTAGCAGCATACATAAGCAAATTATGTGCATTAAATTTCGTGATGGTATCTCACGATACTGCTAGAATTAAGTTTCAGGAGCCAGAGAAAACTGCTTGAAATTTGAAGGTATTATTAACTAATAATAAATAAATTTAGAAGGAAGAAGGCACATTAGATGATATGAATAACATTAAAGTTAATTACTTAAAAACTTAATTACAATAACCAACGATATTTTGGCAAATATAAATATTAAGACACAGCAACACGCCGAACAAATATTAATTCTGAATTAGTATTTGTTCGGCATGTTACTGTGTCTTAGTTATAGAAGTCCCAAACAGGCTTATTTTTTGCTTCTGAATTAAATATAAATATGTTAAATGGTTAGCCTAGAAGACAGAGTAACATTTTTTTATTTTACTGCAAAATGACAAAGTATTTATTAAAAAGGGGAAAAAAAGGTTTAAAAGATTTTGCGGTGAAATTCTAGTACATGATATGGCTATGGCACAATTTTGAAAACTGTCACCAACACCAAAATGATCCGTTTACTGCTCATCATAAATCACTGGTTTGCTGGCATCATAGTGTCATAAATCCTATGTGTACAGTATACTAGGATTAAACAGATTTTGTTTTATGCGAGAACAGAAATGTAATTTTTTTTTTTTTTTTTTTTGTTCAGGTGCACGGTTACATGTAAGTTCTGATTTGTGGTACTGGCAAGGTTTTTGCCTTTAAAAATAAATTGATGGCGCTGTAAAAATTGTCTCTATGCCAGCTGCCTGAATGACACTCATGCGAAACATAATTTGCCAAGAATGTGATCGTTTCCAATGCTGGCATAAAAATCGAAAAATGGTTGTTTTTTTTTGGGGGGGGGAGGGATCACTGTTTTGAAATTCCCTGACTTTTCCAGATTTTAACTAGAATATTTAAATTATTAAAAACAATATACACCAATAAAAATTTGTCTTATAGTCAATTTTCCAATTCCCTAGTTTTTCAGGTTTTCCAAGTAGCACGGCAAACCTGATTTCAGTTTGAATATGTATGATATAATAACAACTAACTACCTTTTCCTTCTTAATTTTAAAAAATATGCACATACAGTAAAACTGGAATAGCTTGATGTAAACAATAAATTTGCTGGAAAATAAAAGTTCAGATCTCTTTTCCAAAATTTAAATAAAGTTAATGCCAAATTTTCTATATGGCAGAGATGTTTATAACAGCATATTTCCTATCATAATTAGTCATAAAAAATCTAGCAGCAGAACTGCAGAGACAAACCCAATAATAAATTCAAATCTAATGAAACAAACAAAATTACTTAAATTTCATTAAATGACTTTCACCAGATGTTTGAATTTTAGCATACATTGTTAAACTTTTTAAAAAATAAAACAAATTTATGAACTCAACAAAGAGTAATGAAAAAATACAATTATTTTGAATTGGGAATTAAATATTTAACATGCTCTTAAAAATGTCAAGTTAGTCAATTGAGCTACCATTGTTAAATCATTGGGGGGAGAATTGACTTCCCCCTTCCCCATTCTAAGCTCTATAAATAATGATTGCTTAAAATACTTTGATAAATTTTTTAAAGATTTACGTAATGTTAATGCTATATTAGATACCAATAAGATAACTATGAATACAGAATTGCAAGAAAATACTGAAATTAAAAAATGTACTTTAAAACCTTTCATCCAAGCTCTATAAATAATGACTGCTTAAAATCCTTTGGCAAATTCTTTCAAAACTTATCTGATACAGCATTTTCAATGCTACTTCAGGTACCAGTAGGTTAACTATAAACACAGAATGACAAGAAAATATTGAAATACTTAAAAAAAAAACTTTAAAACCTTTCTTTTTTATCAAATTAGTTGATTAGGATGATAGGAATGTTTATTAGACTGGAAAAAAATAGATTGTTTTCCCTTCATTTCTCAGCAAATCTAATAAATGCATAATGCAAAAAGTAGTAAAAATTAACATGAGATGAACAAATGTTTTCCTATGAATTTTTCACATGGAAAAGGTTACCCATAATGGTATACAAATATATGGTTGTTCTAATTGGTCTAAAACTAATGCTGTTAAAAATTATTTTTAAAAAAAACCGACCATTCCTATTCTTAACTAAAATTTTAAAAAAAGGGGTACAGGATATTAATATGAAAAGAAATAAAAATCTTATTCTAAAAAACTTCATAACAGCTTCTAGAATTGCTGACAGAAATCAGGGCCAGTGGTGATATTTTTGACAATGTATCAGCAGAGGTGCCAGCAGAATAAGAACACAGTACAGGATAACTTTTTAAGTTTTCTCCCTTTAACAGTTGTTGGTAAACGTTGTGTGCGTCAAAATGCCTCTCCTATCACCCAATTAAAATTATCTTTCTAAAATATCCTCAGAATGAAATTGGCATGTTTAAACATAATGATATAGAACAAAGGGTACTTTTCCATTTCGGTGGCGCAAATCTCGCCAAGCAGATTTTATTGGCGACAACATACAATATACACCAATAAAAATTTTAACGAATATTAGTTCTAAGAATTTTTTATTTTGCAGGCATAAACATTTTAATGTCATTTAAAATTTTGTAAAGAGCCAATAAATAAGGACAATAAATTTGTAAAAAGATGTTAATTTAAGAATTTACTATGCTTTCATGGTTCAACATACCAATTCACACACTGACGGCCATGTGAATAACTACCTCTCATTCCTTAATCCTCCCGCCTCTAAGGTTCTTTATGCAAACAGCTTAACCCGAGAACCTTACGTTCTTTAATAAACATCACAGCTAAAAGACTGAATAAGTTCTTTTAACTTTTGAAATGAACTTAATGGGAAAGATTTTAAATACAGTTCCTTTCTTTCCTTTAAAAGGATTTTCTCAGGCATTTAACAAACGTCGTTTTTGGCCTCTTTTTACAGCATTGATAGGGTCAAAAACGAAATTCTCCCTCCCAGTGATCACGGCAGAAAACTTTTTCAACCTGTAAACAGGTTCCTCCCTCCCTCCCACCCTGAGAACGACTCGATATGATGCTCTCCCTGCGTCTTTTCGCCTCTGACTTATGTCAAAACACAGATATCAAGGTTCGAGAACTTCCCCTTTATTTATCTAGTCAAAATTTTTATGATTGCCCCTATCTCAATTATTCTGGCTCGTTTTCGGCACAATTTAAGACCTTCGAAATTTTGCCTTTTTTTTGACTCAGTTGTGAAGGCACTTATCTAAGTCATTCAGCTTCTCAAAATTTTTACCTATGACAATGCCCTCTTTTGATGATGTTAATCTTGAAGAGTGGAGGTAAAGGCGTAATTGCCTATGAACTCCGTAAATTGCACTTCCTTGATCCTTGATCCATCCCGATTCGCCGGTTCATATCACTTGACCCCAAGTGATCTCATTTCACGTAAACTACGCTACAAAAATCTAATTCTCTCAGTAATTATCTACATTAATTTCAAGTTAAATCTTAATTTGGAATATAAGTTTAAATGCAAGAATTATTTCAATTCGTATGAATAGCTTACTCAAATTATGTAAAACTGCAGTGCTTTACTTCACTAGTGCATTCTCATCAGAATTGATGAATTTAACTCTTGACCTTTGCCTTTTCTATATTTTCACCTTCGGATGAGCGGTGTGATTGCATCCTAATTGACTTAATTACTGTGAATGGCTTAGGGTATAAAATTGAACTATCTGGTAAAAATTCTATGTAACTGTATGCCAGTATTGAAAGAAATAACCAATCTGATAAGAAATGACTGTGACTTATTTTGAAAGTGAGGCATAAAAGGTTACCAGCGAGAATATTCTGTTTGGCATCAATTGTACCATTACTGATGACTTTATTGCTTGCGCCAGAAAAACGGAAAAGTATCGAACAAAGAATATCAGATCTTTGTTTCATTGCCTAATCTATACATGTCAAAAGCAAAATAAGTACATATTTTTTTATATAAAATGAAAATAGAAATAGAACATCATATAAGTTTCCTACAATTTCTTTAAACATCATATCAATGCAAGCATTTTTAATTACCTTTTTCGATCTTTTTGCCCAATTTTCACAACTTTATTATGTATAAAGGAGTATATCACAGACTGTAAAAGTGTGGACACAACAAGGTGCATTCTGTTGTAACTCAGTTGGACTATTTGACTTTGTTCATTCAGTAATATCCGAGATCTGCTTTGATGCTATAACAATTCAAACATTTTTTTTTGATTATATAATCTATACAAGGCAAATAAATATATATAGCAAATTAAAATAAATGAAATTTCAAGGTAAATGGATGAAAGAAAACAGTACCTCCAAATGATCTATTTCAGTGCAAACAACAACACCATTAACATCACCACTAAAAAATTTAATTCCATTTTTTGACCATTCTAATGAAGTAATTTCAGAAGAATGAAGTCCTTCAACAGTAAATTTTTCCCACTGAAAAAATAAAAAACTGTGTGCATAAAACATACCATAAATTTTTTAATAAGTAATTAAATCATAAAAAACTTACTTTTTTAATTTAGAATTGATATATCTATTATTTACTTCTATTTCATCATCATTATTATTATTACTGCTTTAATACCAAGCAGCTATGTCCTTGGAAGATTTAATTTCTATTATATATATTTAAAAAAAAAATCAAACAATAAAATTTAGCTTAAAACTAAATCAGCCTAAATTTGGAGTCAAATATTTTATAAATGCTTGAAGGTATTTAAAATTACAAAATTCAATCAAGCATTAGTGTATCATTAAATTAATGGCAAATATATAAAAAAGCATATTAGGATTATTTGCACTATAATCCACTCTGAGAAGTACTTTCTAAAGTGATCTATCTAAGTAAATTTCTATTACTAGTCCCTAATTTTGTTTTTAATTTCAACCTTATTTTGGCATAAGTTTTGAATAAAACTTTAATTTTGAGGCAATACAACATCCTTCTTCTTCTATGAGCCAAAAAAAAAAAAAAAAATTGCAGCATGGGAGGCGTGATGATTGCTTTTATACTGCAATGGGTGAAATAAAGCAAAGCTTATACATAACGCCATCTATCATGAAAAATTATTATGAAACATGAAAAATTAACATATTACAATTCTCAAAGTATTAGGAAACAATGAATTGGAATTAATGCCATCAACTAAAAAAGAAAAATTTTTGTGAATGTAAAACAGCTCTAAGGAAGTCCAATTCCCAACTTTTTTTTTTTTTAATTTTGCAGAATTAAAGTGAAAACTGTGATCAGGAATACAACTATGATTAACTGTCAAAGATCTGTCTATTTCTTCTTTTTGAGTATAAGATCTGTGTTCCTCAATGCAAAATTTTAATGTTTTTTGAGTTCGGATGATATATGACAAGCCATACTGAGAATATACACAATAAATTTCCCAAGCCCTCCAATTGGCAGATGATTTCACTAGGACATCAAATTTCCCAAAATTGCCATAAAAAGAGATATTTGCTTAATTCTAATGCCCAAATGACCCACTATTTTATACCTGTATTCATGAACTTTTGATAGCTTGCCTTAATTTCTTGGAACTTATTTCAAGATAACGTACATATAATTTTTTGAAGATGTAAAAAAAAAAATATTCCACGCCATTACATTGCCTTGCCAGTTAGAGGATTAAGATCAGAAACGAGATGAGATTCTTGAAGAACTGAAAAATGAATTTTACTGACCGATGACAGCTGGTATGTTTTTCAGTACTTACACATCGCCAAGCAGTGCAATTTAGCTCCAATAATGGATAAGTAAAGGTCACAACACACCCATAACAACTGAACTTTTGTTTGATGTAATCTCAACTGATTCTTGATAAGCTATTTTTTACTTTCATGAACAAAGGATATAAATTAACTGTTACTGCTGCAATGAATTCAACATCTGTAAGAACCCTATTCGCAAATGCAATATGGTTCATTTACAGCTGGTTGAAAGAATCAACACCTAGTGAACAGATTACAGCAGCTGGATATAATTGACAAAATAGCAACAGATTGGAACAATCACCTGCAGGAAGTTTGTGTTCACAGCATTCTAAACAGAACTTCCAGTAATTGGAAGACCTGACAAAATAGCAGAAATCAATAATAAGCTTTTCATGAAGTGCAAAAACAAAGTGGGTAAAATATTTCTAAAGCAGTGGCTATTTAGTGGATGGTGCAAAGAGACAGAATATTTTATTATAAGAGGTGCAGATACAAATGTGGCTCATAATTCCATAGGAAAAACTGGGACAACTTTGTTGGGATCGTTGCCAACTTTTCATGCTTTGATAGTAGCCAACTTTCACAGTTAATGAGATAATATGCTGTTTTTCTCCCATTTGATTATTTTTTGAAACCATGTCTCTACAGAATGAGGGTAGTTAATAAGCTACTGATCTGAAAGTTCTCAAGACACTAGTAGTATATGAAAAGAAGATTACAAGACTCCTGAATTTTATTATCTGGAATATTTTCATCCAAAACTATGATAAAACTTGGGTATATAATCCTCATATGCTGTGCCTAAATTAAAATAACTAACCACAACTTTATAGATTTACAAAAGATTTTTTTTTTCCTGGCAACACTGTATTAAAAGTCCCATTTTTAAAACTTTTAACATGTTCATATATGCTTCCTTAAAATTTAAAATGCAATATAATTTTAATGTGTTGATCATCATAATTCTAAAGCACCCAAAATTTTTTTAAAAATAACTTTCTCAACTTTTGAAATTTAAAAGGTTATTTGCCATTAATGAAACCTAACACGACAATTTTTTTTTTGAAAGAACTTAACACACACATATATATATAACGTTCAAATTGGTCAAAAGAATTTTCTATCCATTCTAAAATATCAAAAAAAAGAAAATAGATATTTATAAATAATTCTTTAATAATATGAGTCCAATTACAGAAGAGAAAACTGCATAACTACAACCACCAACAATTGCATTCGCATTTTTAGAAGCAACATTTAAGTAGTAAAATTATATATTTTCATATTTGATAAGTGCTCCACAAACTGCTACAATAATGTCAGTTAAATTAATTATATTAACAAATAAAATCAAACTCTGCTCACTTCATCTTTTGAACCAAATGGAACTTTGAACACAATAACTGCTCCACTTCTGTAGCCTAGAACCACCAGACATTCTAATGAAGTCAGAACTTTCACACATGTTACTGTCTCTTTGTGAATCTGAAAAATAAATAAACATAATATGAATAACAGTTAATTAAAACTTTATTCTCTTCCTTTTTTACTACTTAATTGATTATGAAGAACTACTTACATAAACAAATGCAATTCTCGTCTAATTTTGATTTGACATTAATGCCTTCCAACCATGATAATGTCCAATGAATCATGAAGTCCAAAACATGCCAATTTCAGCTATCTGCTGTAATTCAAATTTAAAACAGCAAATCACAGATTAATAACTGCTACAGGTATTTGTAGCCCGATTTATTTACTTAAGAGCTGTGATCTTCTAGTTTAATTGGCTGCATCCTTTTTATCAAACACATCTTGACATGATTGTGCACTTTTTTTTTTTTTTTTTCAGTCAAGAAAGCAAGAACACATCTTCTTCAAGATAAGTTTATGCCACTTTTTTCTACACAGAGATAATCTACTTTTCCAGGGTTCGTACACATTTCTGTAGATGGAAATTAAGTACTTTTAAGGACCATTAATGAAAAAATTAAGGACCTATGAGCAAATGGGAACTGAATAAAATTCAATTAAAATATTATCTATGCTGAATTCACTTTTGTATAAAATACCTCTAAAAATAAATAGATTCCTAAGTAGTAATGCATTATTACTAAACATGATTAATTAACTAATTACTATAAGTTTGAGAAAAATAAACGTTACAATTATAAAATATGCATTAATATTTTACACTTACAATAATTGGCCATTCTGAAAGAAGATAAGTGACTTACATTTACTAACGCACTTAATGGTTTTTTTTTTTTTTTTCCTTTTTGTTTTTTTTTTTTTTTTTTTTTTTTTTTTTTTTTGTTTTTTTTTTTTTTTTTTTTTTTTTTTTTTTTTTTTTTTTTTTTTTTTTTTTTTTTTTTTTATTTTTTTTTTTTTTTTTTTTTTTTTTTGTTTTTTTTTTTTTTTTTTTTTTAATACCAGTAGATTTATCAAACAGCATAGGTTTAAAATGAGAAGTCAAGATCATAATCAGCATGATTCATAACAAAAAACTGATGTTGTTACCGCGCTGCTGCCTTGTCCGAGAGTGACCTGCTGATTAAAAAAATCTCAAAGGCTGATGTAGGCATGGTTGGCAAGTTTTCATAGTTGGACTCTATCTGACACAGTTGTGCCAGCTTTTGTAAAGTCAAGGATTGTACCAGTTAATATACTTAAGGTTCACTAAAACACCAGCAGGTGATAAGTGTTTTGTATTATTTCAGGTCTCACTAGATGCAAAGAATAAGTTTTTTTACATGAATTTTTACAATTTTGTGTTTTAATTGTGACCACGGTACGATTAATGAAAGGCAATAACTCCTTTAAAATTTAGAGATAATTTTAAAGGTAAGCAGTTAGTTATAAATAATTTAAAATTAGGTAGTTTGATAACTTAGTCATTATGGATTTACATGGCCACAAATTTATGTTTTACCATATTGTTAAAAAGCCCTATTAAATCAAAATCTAATAAATTCGGAGTTTAAAATATGTAATTCAGACAATTGATTCTTAAATATTAGGATAATTACACATTAAAATCTACAGAACATTTTATGTTTTGTTAAGAACAACACTCAAACAAATATTTATTTGTCATTTTAATTTGAAGCCTCCCCAAACATTTGGTTAGTTTAATCGATTTCCTTCTCTTTAAGCATTTTTCAATATTTTAGATTGTCTCAATGTGCAAACCAATGCTTCTCCGCTAGTTCTGTGTGGGCTTTATCTCCTAACTTGTCAACCTTCACAATGTACCTATGAGGGTTTTACTTAATCCGTAAAAGTTAAATAGTCCCAAACCCCTAAGAGATGTGAAGCATATGTCGCTTTTTCTGAAAGTAACTAGAATAAATAGACAAGGTTTTAAATAAGCCTCATTTCAAAAGAACTTCGAACATAAAGGCATGTTCTGATGCTAAAAAATCAATTACATCTTCCGGTGACGTAATTAAACAAGAAAATAGTCAAATTCGAATTAAAATGTGAGTAGTGGGTCAAAGATTATACAAATTATTTTAATTTAATCTGACTCAATAACTCTATCATATGAGAACAAAATGGGAATTATAGTAAAGGCTGAAATCATAAACAGTTGGTATTTACAATATAATAACTGCACAATATCTTTGAAGAATAATTTCTTTATGTATTCAGTTCTTCTTCAACACTTTCCTCTTCATTTTAGAATTTTGGATTAATTAAGG